ACACAGCATCTGAGCCCTGAAAAGGGGAACTCGGAGAGCAGGAGAGGGAAATGCACAGTTTCACTGATCTTTTGCTACCTTGTGACTTGCCACCAGGCTACCACTTGATGAAGGGGGCAAGAACCTATATAAGGCTGCAACAATTACTGACCGTTTTTCTAAAAATACCATAAAAGCCTCCCATAAATCAGCATTCCCAGGAACTAGGCTGAAAACCCAAACTCATATGCCCCTGCCAGAGAATGACCATATGATGAAAACTATTCACTGTCTCTCTACTGAAGTTCCAATGAAAAGTCAACATCAGGAAGTGAATTACGTCAGTGAGAGGGAAGCTGTGGGATAGTGGTAGTTTTGTGGGGTTTAGGTCTTTTTTACATCATTATTTTTAAAGTTCCGGAGAACAGATCAAGAAGTAACTCTGGTTTTGTTGATGTTCCAGGAAACAGCAGCACCTGCAGCTGGTAAGTCACTTGTTAAACAGAGGAGTCAGAAGTAAGAACAATGATCCTTCAGACTTAATACTGAGCAAGTTTGTTTCGTGGTGAGGCATAAATGGCAGACATATAAGCCCTGAAAATCACATGGATCTCATTCATCCTGCCTACCACCAAGGGGACTAAATTTCTTCAGCTGGCAAACTTTCAAACTTTCACCGAAGGTTTGCCAGTTCTGAATTTTGAGAATTTGATGAACTACTATGAAAAAGGAAAGAAATAAAACTACAGAGATGGAGTCTGAGGGCATAAACATATCCCATGATAGTACTTGAACTCACATTAAAGGTATAACCGCCCACTCATAGCAATGATTTCCAGAGTTTAAAAACAAAACAACAAACAAACAAAAACCCACCAATGAACAAAAAACCTAACAAAACCAAAACCAAAGTCTCTGTAGCCTACTGGTAAGGGAAATAAAGTGGTACACATGATCACCTGGCTGTCTTGACCCAAGTTCTTGCACCAAGTACCTATGACAAAGTACTGGTAACATGAATATTCTGTACCTGCATCTTCCTCTTGACAGTCTCAAAGGGGAAAGAAAGTGTCTGTGCCACAGCAGCTGCTACACAGCCATTTGCAAAGTTCTGAAGAGGAGTGAAATGAATGATGGGCTGTTGCCAGATTGTGTCTAGACTGATGTAAACAAAGAATGAACCTGCAGAAAATGGGACAGCACCTAGAAAGCAAACCAGACAGGATTAAATCAACACACTGTACACTAAGAAAGGACAGCTGCCCATCACATAACTAGAAAGCTGGGAGGAGCTGCTGCCAATTTACACGTCACATTCCACAAACCCAATCCAGATTTTGAAGAGCTTCATTCTTTAGTCCCTGGTTTATCACCAAAGACCCATATTGTACCATCTAGATATGCTGACAGGGGCATACATTTACCCACTAGAATGTTCACATTGTTAGAATTATTAACTGCTATAGTCTCATGACAGGCCAGGCTGCCATGTTTCTCCAGATTCTCTCTTGTGACAAACTCTTTCCCAGTCCAACCCAACCCCAGCATTTGCACAGGTAATCAGAGCTATGTCTTCAGTCGAGCTCATCAGGGATACTTCTGGCCTCTTTTGCTTGTTTCATGCTCTCATCAGTTTTATAGTGGGATTATACATTTATTATTACTGTTACACATTTTATACAATGTCATATTGTGAAACAGTGGACTCAGTTAAATGGCATTTTTAAAGGCCATGCAGAGTAAATAGTTAATTAATAATTTAAAGTAAAGAGAATATAATGAATCTTCATTTTTCACACCTACTATATACTATAGCTCACACTGGTTTCACTGAACAGCTCAGGAGACACTCACACTCAACAGAAATTACAAGCACTCTCTGTGTGTGTGTATAAATGTGTTTTAAGAGTTTAATGGTGAAAATTGTGCATCTAAGCACAATTAGATCTTCTATAAAAGAAGGATAAGAGTATTTTTCTGAACACTTAATCATACATAAATGCTACACATATGGTTCTAATTTGAAGTAAAAAAGCTGCAGCAAAGGTTATCAGTATTGCAGTGCCTCAAAAATTTCTACATCTTCTACAAGAAAACATTCCTATTTGCTTTTGAAATCAAGTGAGCAAGCGAACACACTACACAGCTGCAACAAAAGCCAGGCAGTGAGGTGATTTCACCCCACTATTGCTTTACCTAATATTGCTGGTGAAACACCACGGTAGAGCGCACGGAGCCCCTCTTGATGATAGATCTTATAAAAAGCATGAAAAATTCCCTGGTAAGATGGTTCCAGCCGGTTCTGCACGATGAGCCGTGTTTTAATCACGTCAGTGGGATACGTCACGATGGTGGCAACCATGCCAGCCAGGCTTCCAGCCATGACAGCTCTCCAGTGCGAGATATGGCCCAGCTCATCCATGAAAAGGGTAACAAGTCTAAAGCAAACACATATAGGAAGTACTATTAATGACACTATGAAAAAAACACATGAAAAATTAAGGTAGATGATTCTTGATGCAAATGTTCTGTCCACAAGCCACTTCAGCAGCAGGAATTGAAATTTTAGCATGTGATTAATCCAAGATCTTATTATACATAACACCACATAAAGATGAAAATCTTTTACAGGATGAAAATCTTTCTTTTGTATTTCCACATACACAATGAAAATTACCATGATTCAAAACACATCTGCAAGAAATTATCCGATCATCAGTTAAAGACACTGGTCCAACCTGCCAGTGAAGGTTATCATGTAAGAGGAAATATGTAAATAATGACATCCCAGGCCTTCTGAGAGCACCTGAACCTTTCTGTTACTTATCTTGGAACAGGAAGGTTCACAGGGACACACCTCCAGAGAATACTTACGTCCAGCCACTATTATGCTCAGGAGTTTAAGTCTCAATTTGAAAATTTGAAATTGAAGCACAGTTTTAAAAGCTACACACAAATCATACATTTGTGGCGCACTGAAAGACCTTTCTATTACAGGAAACTCCTACATCAGGGAGTAATGTCCTGGAGGCAGCAAGAAGCAAGTAAAAACACTTCAGAGTTTTCACTGGATGTAAAGAAATGTATTATTCTATTTTGGCAGCATTAACTAAAACATCTAAACAGCACATCTACGTTTAACCTACGTGGTGTAACCATGTGCGGAACACAATAATTTGCAAGTATTTACAAGTCACTGCTCGCTCAGTTGATGTTTTTTCACTTGAATGTGCATTTCCTACTGCATGACAAATCCCTGCATCTACTTGTCTCAAGCCCTGTGAGTGCCCAGGGAGAAAGCCCAGCCAAGCAGAAGGGCATAAACCTTTTTTCCTGTGTGTCTTATGCAGTCCCTAAACCCACACAGCCTAATTTTCCTGCGTGTGGACAAATGTGTGGGGAAGGTGGAGGGGTGTCTCTGGGCACTATGTGACAACATTTCAAACTGCCATGGAAAGACAAGAGTCTGTGAAATCTGTGCTCAGTCCTGCTCCCCTGGGACTGTTTACCTAAGCTGCCTTATAACTTCTCTTTTTGTGTTTCTTGCCTTTATGTACACTATTCTCCCAGTAAAAAAGACTTTCCAAAACCCCCAAATAGTATATCAAGGACTAAGCATAGGCACCTTGTATTTAATTTCCTGGTAGCCTACTTCCACCCATAATTCAGAACATCCTGTACAAACTAGGCACAAGCTTTAGCCTTGCAGAAGGCATACACTGTTTCAAGCTGAACAAACAATGAAGTTATTTTGCTCAAAATCAACTGCTGTATATTGGTACAACACACTGCCTTTTCTGTGAACTTTAAATGGCATTTAAATTACTGTTTGTACCTTCCCACTCACATTATGTTGCTCTTTGTTTGACCACTGCATCAATTATGGCACGAAAAAGCTGTCCAGTTTTAGGGTCACTTCATTTCTGGTCTCCTGAAGGGCGCAAGCAGTCATGGGCAGATGACTTGCTGGGACAGATGAGTGACAAACCCAGCAGGTTGGCAGCACCAGCAGGGCTGTGCTGCTGCCCAGAACAGAACAATTCAGCTGCCAGCTGAGTGGAAATGTCATGTGCATGAACAGCTGACTGCAATAAAAAAAAAGAAGCCAAGAAGCCCAGACCCCAGAGTAGCAAAACATTCTGATGTATGCAAACAGTCAGGCACTCCCTGCACAGGCTGAGAGATAACTGGCAGCAGAAGGGAATCCTAGGAAACAGCACAGCCAGCAGAGATCCATCAGCACTGCTCCATGTTCATCCTGCTGCAGTCCTTCCAGCACTTACCTTAGTATAAAGTCTGTGAATTATCAAAAACATGGTCTTTAAACAAACAATGTCACATATCAACATCAAAACCGATCAAATTTGCTTAACAACTCCTGCATGATAGGGTAAAAATATCTGACTTGTGATTTTGTTATTTTCTTTGATACAAACAACAGAAATACTTGAGAATGTACAAATTAATTAAAGAAACTGGTTGCAAAGAACAGATGTGACAGCCACACCTGCAGGTTGCACTGGAACTTCATTTCTAAATGAACCCGAGCAAAAGAATTTTAACAGACTATCCACCCTTCATCATGTGAAGAATACCTATCATTTTATCAGCAATTGCTGGCATATCACCAGGCCCTAACAATCGCTACGTGCTAAACAAATTAGGTAAATAAAATTACAAGCAAGAGTCCGCGTCCCTGGGGAGAAGGGGCGCACAGCCACT